CGCGCTCCCACTTCTCTCGCCGTCAAAAATCAGTCAAAATCGCTCTCTCTCTCTCTCTCTGTCGCTCTTCTCGCTCTCACTCGCACTCACGGCGACACCTCGCCGATCGTTGCGCTCCTCTCTCCAGATCCTGCAACGACACAAGTATGTAGTCGCCATATAGCGTACACTTGGTCGCTGCGCTCGCGCGAGGAGAGTGTCGCACACAGGGCTAGCGAACATCGCTATACCCTGTCACATTCTTCGAACTAGTTAAATGACATGATGACACTAAATTTTTTTCTGTATTTTTTAAAAATGTATACGTTTTAGATATGTCGTTTAACTTTAAAAATTTTGGAATACTATTTATTTATACAGGAAACGTTATATCATGAAATTTCAATTTTTTTTCAAAACGCGCATAATTAGTGATTCTATAATTGTGATTTTTATAACTATCAGTAGAATGAAGACAAGATAGTACAGCCCATTTGAAACATTGATTATCGGTATTCTTAACATTAATACACGCTTTTCTCATTTCTATGGCCTTAGGAAATGGAACATACGAGCAAGGTTTGAGTGGATTGTGATTATTTATGTTAACTGTGAACCATAGTCTTTAATAAACAACCTGATTCTCTTTATTGAAATTCTTCAATATTCTTAGGTAAAATGTCTTCAATATTTCTATCAAACCATTCAATTAGATTAGTACTTTAATAAATGTATTGATTTTTAGTGTTAAAGTATTTAATTTGAATATCCTTTTCATTATTCTTTTTAATACGTAATAAACTGAGCTGAAAATTCCATGTTTATCTTTAATGCATTCTTGATAGTTAGAATGTTTATGTAAAAGTTTGGTTGATGCATTTAAAAACGACTTTATATCCACATGATGCTAATTTGCTATAACTATAATATTAATACGATTTTCAAAAACAGAATGAATAGGTCCAAACAACACCATCTGCTTGAATTTCATCTATAATTAACTGTAATGTCTGAATATTTCCACCGACTTTTATGAAATGATTAAATTACGTTTCAAGGATAATCAAGTGTGTTTGACCTCTGTGTAGTACTGCTCGAGATAAATTATTCAGCTTCAAATAACGATTAAGAGTAATGAATGTAGAATTCCCTAAATTTTTCCATCTAATAAAATCATATACGTCGACTTCTTTGTTAAGATATTTATAATAGGCCGACCACAGATCTTTTATAGTTTGTTCAAAATATGAAATTGAAGACATTTTTATAGAGATACTCAGTCAATTACTTTGTGAATTAATAGTTGTCTTTAAGATACTTTAGAAATTATACAGTAATCTATTACTGTTATCTACCAACTATGGCTACAGACGATCTTAACAGACTGTGTTCTTTCTTGGAGTGGAGTAACTTGTAAAGGCAGACGGTGGCGCTGTTCGCAACGGCGTCGGTGCTGTAAGCTATAGTATGTAGGGAATAGCTTCTGTCGGAAAAATGGGGAGGCGATTGTAGCGTCACTGAACTAGAGTTACGACCTATAGAAGGAGTAGCTTATACAGAAAAGTGGGGAGGCGATTGCAGAGACAAGTAACTAAGTAGATTATATATTGAATTCCAACATTTTCATTTCTAGGTTCCTATCGTATTGTTAGAATATATCTACGAGGACAATTGTTAAAAATGGAGAAGAATAATTACATTGTCTACTTACTAGAAATAAATATATCTTAGGGAGGTGGGGGAGTAGGTGAGTGGAGAAGCGTAGGAAAAAACTACTTGGCGAGCTGAGTGCGGGTGAGGCACTGAACTCTACCATCCAAAATATAAGCTTTATGCAGCCCTAGCAAGCATCCTCCCCTCTATATACATCTGAAGCTCGAGAGAGAGAGAGAGAGAAAGAGAGAGAGAGAGCACACCGCAAGCTAGAAACGCTACCCCCTCTCCGGGGGTCTGCACCTAGTTAATATATGCTTACTGAGCCCCTTACTGTCAAAAGAAAGCGAGAGAGAGAGCAGCATCCACGCTATATGGAGAGCGTATGCTACTAAAATGCATGAGAGAGAGAGAGAGAGAGAGAGAGAGAGAGAGCGACAGAGAGAGCAGCATCCACGCTATACGAAGAGCGTAAGTTGCTAGAACGCATGAGAGAAAGAGAGAGAGCAGCATCCACGCTATATACAGAACGTACGCTACTAGAACGCATGAGAGAGAGAGAGAGAGAGAGAAAAAGAGAGCAGCATCTGGCTTAGTAAGCTCTCCTAGGGCTCACGCTTACTCAGCATATATTTTACATTACAACCGCTACAGGAGGAATCTACCTAAACAGTCTATATAATAATATTTATTGTTATATTATTTACTAAAAGAGGGAGGCTCTGGGGGATCACGACTAAGTCAAGGAACCACTCTGGGGGGTGGTCAGGCAGTAGGTGGTCCTTTTCACGATGCGTGCGAAGCGCATGCACAAATTCTTATGTATGTTTCAAGACACCTGAATCCCCTGCGAAGTGACTTGAAGCATACATTGCTTATCTACTCCTCCCAGTACATTAGCTATCATGCGTTGGAATGTAATGAACGCATTTTTCAATTCGAAGGGTATTTGATAAATTAAGAGCGGCTAAAGGGAGTGGAAAATGCAGTTTTATGGAGTTGACGGGGGTCTAATTAGATTTGATGAAATCTATTTTGCATGTCAAGAATCAAGTATTAGAACCATTCAACTGTATTAGGTTGTTGATTAAGTTAGAAATCGGATAAGGATCAGATTTCGTTTTCTGTTTAACTCTCGGAAGTCGTCGACAACTCTCCATTCGTTTTCTTGTTTGGATACGACAATTGGAGGGTAGTTATAATTCTTATACGATGATTCTATGATTCCTGCTGTTAAGAGTTTAACAATTTCATTTTCAACTATTTCTTATATCTTTTGAGGAATCAGTTGTTGGCGTATATATGTACAGGGACAACATCTGACGACACTATTTTATGTCCTGCCGCGCTGGTGGACGGTAAATTTTTAGTAGGTTAACGAAAAGCTTTTTCTATTTTGACTAAGTTCCGAAATCTTTCCGAAATTAATCAAATCCATATCTGATCAACCCGACTACGATTCGAACCCAAATTATTTTGTGGTTTTGAAGGTCTGGGGACCAATGAAAATCTTTCTGTAACTAGGTAGCTTGAGGTTCCGTCAAACATATTGTATGTGTTGCCTCCTGAGTCAAACTTAAATGTAACAATTACATGGACCTGATTAATTTCTGCTTCGTTGTTTCTATTTAATATTTCTTTCGTAGTTTCGACATATTCTTCAACTGAACTGTCTAAATTGTGTATCACATTATCTACTGTGATGAAGGCATTTTCTGTAACGTAATTCTGAACCAATAAATGAGATCTGTTTTCTGCCTTTTCGGCCTGTGGTACCTCGTTTATAGGTAACCTGTTTCTGTCTACGTTATAATTTTTGCTAGGTTTTAGTTCAAGATCAATAAAATTTTCGTAAAATGGTTTATTTCATGAGAGGTTTTGTTTTCGCTTACGTTTTCCGGGTCGCTTATATCGTCAGGGAATATGTATGTCGAAAAAGAGAAAACCGATTCGTGTTCATGATGACAACTCCCGATTCGTGACCTTCTCGATCTTTCAAGAAGCCTGATATTACATTCATTTGGTAATACGTTGCTTCTAAATAAAGATGAAGTTATAGCAATTGCAATTTGACTGGAAACGAATTATTCTTGGTGACTGGTAGATCCACTAAACCATCTAAGTTATGGACTAGTACATTTTCTGCTTTTATATTTATGTCACCGAACTGTAACTCAAGTATGTAGCCTCTATAAAAAGAAATAGGGTTTATAAGGGGCAGTCTGAGGATTCTAATTATATGTGCTGGAATTTCGTGTATTAAATTGTTTAGGAAGAGATGCTCTTCTGCGGGACTGCTCATTGTTTCTAACGTGAAATCAACGCATGCTCTATTATTTTTCTAAAAATGAACTCCTAACAAAGCGGTTGTACCTATGGGAAAATCATCAGTTACAGCGACAAAATCAGCTTAAGAATCTGATAGACAGACTACTGTGGTACCTAAATCGTAGATGTCTCCGGCCGTTACTTAACGAATCAAAGGTGTATTTTGTGAGTTTATATAATGGCCACGGGCTAAAGCAGTGATTTTCATTATATTTGATTCAATTGTTAGATTTGCTAGACTCATAGCCTCGCAGCTTGTTTCCACTCCGAATTCTCCAACTAACAGTTCCTATAGAAACGGACCCTTCTCTGCTTAAGCTAATGATAAAATAGAGTATTCTTTCATTAATTAATACGAAGAATTTCCAGCGTGTGTGGTGTTAAATTAGCATAGAGAATTTTGAGAACAGAATCTCATTATAACTTTGTTGACAAGAAAAATATTAATTTTTACAGTTTACCTTAGATGAATGATAATTATACGGAGTTTTGTAAATATGAATAATGAGTCGAAACTTACATAAAAAGAAAATGTAATGTAGCGTATAAAATTATAAAGAAATGATTACAATAAAGAATTATTTGGTTTAACAAAGAGCCTTAACATTATTCTTTTCACTTAGTTATTTTCAAATTAAAGTGTATCAATGGTTAAAATGTAAGTAATAAGAAAAATATTCAATAGTTTATATCTAAAATAATTCGAAAATAATCATGTCAGCTATATATATATATATATATGCGTATGTGTGTACACGGAAAATATTATTATTTACTTTGACTTAAAACTACGAGTCTGATGGTAACGAATATAGAGCTAACAAACGGCAAATGTAAATAGAGGAGCTGTTTTATGACTTTTTGGAAAAAGTGTATACGAGGTATATATGTGGGAGGCAACGATACGGAACAAACGTGTATATAAAAAGCGCTAAAAAAGAAAAAGAACGTTCGACGTATTAAAAACTAATAAAATAAGCACAAAGAATACATATTTCTATGGTGGATTTTACAGTCCATTATTGTGTGTTTCAACTTACCCATAAAATTGAGGAAAGCTTCTCCTCCTAATGAGTGTGTTATCAATACGATCATATTATGAAGAGCTATCCCTCGAGTTATTACAGAATTTTGTGGACTCAAAGTACTCATATAAGAGTACATTTCTTTATCCATCAGCCAGAAAGCCACAGTTTTATCTCCAACGAGAGCTTGATCGTGTGACTCTACGTAGGCAACTGTTTTTTCCAGCCATCTTCGATTAGTAAGTGTCCAAACAATATCACCCATGTTCCAATCTTCATCTTTGGATTCTTTTAGTAATTTTATCCACTTATCTGGGATGGCCATTCCCAAACGATAATCAAATCCTACTCCACCTTCATTTACAGGTCTGAAAAGAAATTATTAATACATTTTAACATAATAATATTTTCAGTTTAAAGGGGTATCTTCTTTGAAGTTGTATTTCAGTCCACACAGGAATGCAAAAAGCAGTAAATAAAATTATTATAGAACGCCAGGCATTGATAACGAGTAATTAGAGAAATTCGAGTGTCGCGGAGAAATGTCTCTCTGTACTTGAACGACACTCATCACTTATTTGTTTTACCATGGTAGACAGCGGATTCCTGTTTGTAGAACATCGGCTAGAAAAGAAGGAAAGAGAAGAAGGAAACGCGCGGATATAACACGTAAATGATTGCGCGTGAAAATTAAGAAAAATAATAAGATATAAATTATTACCCAAGTGACAAGATCTTAGCAGTAAAATGAATATAAATACAATAATAAATTTGTAAGATGTATAGCACAATTACGAAGAAAAAAATTTATAAAAGAAAAATTACAAAAGAAAATGTTAATAAATCGCACACGTAATTCGTGAGATCCTTACAGCGTCCAATTGCGACTGGAAAACAAAATGAAAAAATAACAATAGAAAAAAAGATAATCCGCTAATCACAATAATCGGCACGACAAGCAACAAGACGGGAGTAACTGCGCGACGTGAATATTGATAAATTTATGGCAAATGTGATCGGATCAATTTTAAATTAACTGATAAATTAAAAGCAAAGCCGTGGAATGAACTCGTAGCGCAATAAGAGCGGGCAATACGCAGTCCTAGCCCAAATAAATGGTGAACAACAAATAAACAAGTACAATCACTTGATACAAACTCACGTCGTCACTTACTTGGGCGTGCAAGCGATAAGTGGCTGGACCACTCAACAATCAGCATCAGCTTAATCATCGACAATAAGTAATCCATATTTCAATAATGCTAAAGTCGCTCAAAATAAATTGAAAGAAGGTCGTAGACATAATAAGACTATGGAAGTAATTGCTTTAGGTAAAGGTCTTTAATTAAAGCTTCATAATAAAGGTTTTTGTATGCATTCGAAACCGTATATAAATGGGAGAGCACAAAAAAAGAAAGCTGAACGTAGCTTTACCTAAACGTGCACTGACAGATCTAGGTATATAAATATATGTTCCATGAATGAAAATTGATAATTTCCGAGGAGTTTTCATGCGTTCTGCCTTGCCAGCTAATGGACCTCGCTGTCAAAAGTCAGCTATTATGAATTTAGATGATAAAAATGGTCCAGGTACTCATTAGGTAGCCTACAAAAAGACAGGAGCTAAGGTTATATTCTTTGATAGTTTTGGTGACTTTCAACTACCTATAAATTTATTACTTTATCTCGCAGTTGACACAGTCGAGTATAATTACATTCGATATCAAGAATTTAATACCTATAATTGTGGTCATCTCTGTCTTAAATTTATTTCGAATGCACTATAGTATAGTGAAGACAAATAGTTAAAACACGTATAGTTAAGAATGAAAGTCATTTGTTCTATGACCGTCATGTAAAATACACTGACATTGATTCTGTCAAGAACATTATCCGTCCTCGAAGCAAATTATTTTCCACCAATTGAACTAATATCAAATATAAACTATGTACTTGGTCTAGTAGAATTACTGTTATTCATTTTAATACTATACATTAACGTCGGTAGTGATAAATTTTATATCGAAGGTCAAGAAAAAATCATTTTACCAATTGATGATTATGAGGTATAGAAAGAAGATATAGAAAGTTTTGTCAAAGAAGTCTCATCGAAGGATATATCATTTAGCCTAAAACCAAATGACAATACTCTACGTAGTATTATTCAATGTAGTCGCGAAATTGATTTTGAACCGAAATATTCTGTTGGATCAATTTTAGGCTTCACTCCATGTAAACTTACCCCAAATGAAACGCATAGTTCTGATTAATCAGTGGCTATACTAAAGTGAACGCATTATGTATAAGAATATAATATTACTACTTATTACTTATGTAAACGAACGTAAAGTGCATCGTATGAATCCAAGATTACAGAAGTTTTCTCACATGTCATTTATATCAAACATGAGCTTATCATTTCATTATCAAGAAATGATTTAAATACTGTCATAACAATACCTACCAAATTGCAAGGAGTAATTACTTTTGAAAAAATGAATATTATATTGAATAAAATTGAATGATTAATGCCATATATAGTAGCAGCCGATAGAGAAAAAATCAAACTGCTTAATGAAATTGATCGTCATAGAGCAATCACTATGAGTAACCACACTTGGGAATTATACGAGTATCTGGAATTACCTCGCACATCAAAGCATGTTTGGACTGTGAAAACATCAAATCACTTAGGAAAACCTCGCTTTATTATTTTAACCTTACAAACTTAACGAAAAAATGAACCGGACTCTAATGCAAGCAGATTTTATCACTGTGACATTAGTAATAGAAAACTATTTCTTAATTCATAACTCTATCCTTATTGAAATCTTAATATAAATATTGAACAAAATCAGTATGCGGTACTTTACAATATGTACTCTAATTTTTAAAGCTCATATTACGGAAAAAAAATTAACCGTTGCTTAATAAAAAAGCTTTCATGAAGAAATTACCCTTAATCATGGTAGATTGTTCGAAACAAAACGAATCTATCAAAAATGCGCCTGTAGACGTACACCTCGAGTTCGAAACGAGAATAAATTTTTCTCATAACACTGCCGCTTATTCTTCAATTCTACATGATCGAATTATATAGTATATCTAATCAGCGGTGACGTCAAATTAGTTTAAGATTCTACTAGCATAAATTTATTGTATAAAAAAATAAATAATAATGACATTGTGAAAAAAATTTCAACTTTCAATATAGACGGTGACCCATTTTAATCCCCGCAGCCGGATTACTCAGGACCTAAGTCAGATGGGGCAAAATGGTTCTGACAAAAGTTGTAGACGGTAAAGGGGGCAATACAATAGGGCTAATGCTTTTGACCTTGAACTTGACCTTCAAGGTTATTTCAAGGTTAAAGTGGTTTTTTTAAATGGAAACCCCTATTTTTGACATCGGATTCAGAAACAGCGGGAAATTTTACGTCCAAAATGGTATTTAGGAAATTTTTTTCACGACCTTAGGAAGGAAATTTCAAGGTCAAATGCTGCAAAACCCTATGATTGCTATTTGCTAGCCTTTTCTCATGAATAGCAACCCCAATATTACAACGAGCTTGAAAAGGTTTTCCTTACTTTTAGCGTTACCCAGAAACAACGACGTGGATATAGTAAGGTTTGTTTCCTTTGGAGAGCTTGTTTCATGTGAAACCCCTTGCCTCTCACTAACCTCGAAGCAAGTGTTCGAAATGACGACCATTTGCTTCAAGACACATTGTCAAACGCCTTTGAAAATGGCGAACGGTATTCAACAAAGTTTGCCTCGGGATAGCAGCGCATGCTCGACGAATCCTGTCCAGCTTATCTGTTCTTGTAGTGGGTCGTTGCTCAAAAACAGCATTTTTTAAATATTTTTTTTGCAGACGTGTCTATAATTAATAACGTGTGAAGAATTACATTATCAAAATTAGTATTTCTGTAATTCGAGCGCTACTACTTCACATTTTCCACATAAAACAAAAAATAAAAAGAAGTTTTAGTTTTATTTACAATCAAAATAAAATAATGCTTAATTGAATTGATTACTTAGAAATGTTTTTACGATTATTTTCATTTAAAATTTAAAATTAAAAACATATAATTAACGAATTATTTTTGGCAATACAGTTAGCTAAATAAAGTTACCGTAATTTTCCAACATTTTTCCTTTTTTATCTAAATTCAATAGTAATTAATAGCTGGTTCTGAAATGGTTGACTATTCACCCAACGAGATCGTTGATATGATTTTGGTTTTAGGAGTAAGCCAAAATAATTATCGTGCTGCGGCATGACTTTATGCTGAACGCTATCCTAGCTGGTGACACCATGATGATAGAGCTATCAGACGTTTAACCTAAAGAGCTCGTGGTGGACATATGGTTCGTCAATGTAGGCGCCATAAGTATAATGAAAATGATAATCGAATTGTAGCTATCCTTGCAGTAATTCATCTTAATCCACATATTAGCGATCGTCGAGTGGAAAGGGAAATTAGTATTTCAAGAAGTACTTTTTTAAGAATTATGACAAGGTTTCGATATCACACCTATCATATCACTTTGGTTCAAGAGATACATTTTGAGCATTTCCAACAGCGGATAGTATTTTGCCAATGGGCTTGTACAAATGACATAAAATGATCCAGCCTTTTTTAACTTTGTTTTGTTTTCAGATGAGGCCAAATTTAAAAGTGATGAGGAATTGAATAGGCAAAATTGCCATTACTGGTCTGATGTAAATCCTTATTGGTACCGAACTGTAAACCATCAAGGACATTGGAGTGTTATGGTGTGGTGCAGGATTGTCAATGGTCACTTGATTGGTCCTTATTTTTTTGAAGACAATGTAAATCAACATAGTTACTTGCGGCTAATAAGAGATGGCCTGGATTGCTGGAAGATGTTGACTTAGAAACGCGAAGAAGAATGTGATACCAGCAGGATGGCGCAACACCACATTTTGCTCGAATCGTAAGGGCTTTTTTGAATGAGCACTATGGTATCAGATGGTTTGGGCGTGGAGGTCCGGTTAACCGGCCTGCTCGCTCACCCGATCTTACATCACCAGATTTTTATTTATGGGGGTACTTAAAAAATGCTGTTTTTGAGCAACAACCCACTACAACAGCAGATATGTAGGACAGGATTCGTCGAGCATGCGCTGCTATTCCGAGGCAAACTTTGTTGAACACCGTTCGCCATTTTCAAAGGCGTTTGACAATTTGTCTCAAAGCAAATGGTCATCATTTCGAACACTTGTTTCGAGGTTAGTGAGAGGCAAGGGGACTCACATGAAACAAGCAACCCATCGTGAGAGGCAACGGGACTAACGTGAAACAAGCACCCCATAGGAAATAGATGTTAATACGTTTACGT